CTTTTAATTAATTTATTTATATATTTTTTAATTTTTTGTTTTTAATTAATTAATTTACATTCATTCACTGAGCATTGTTATGGCATACAAAATGTGATTTCCCATCCAGATAGAATATGCTGTATAGTGGCTTAATCATACATATTATCATCAATAGTTTTCCATTTCTAGTTTCATATATTTATATATACATACATATATATATATATATATATATACACATACACATATATATACATACACACACGCACACACACATATATATATTACTCCTCATTTATCACCCTCTGCCATTTCACACTCTCCTCTCACACTATCTCAGGTGTCCACTGTTCTTTTCCATGCCTTTCTTCCTGTACATTTTATTGATTCACAAAATTTCTTAAATAATCTAACTAATTTCAATACCAAGATCTGCTGATACATACATATCTATGAATATATATCTGACTTTAGGCATGAAACTTTGAGTAGAATGAAGATACTATAAGGTAGCAACTAGCTGATGCTGTATAGTTTACTATGGTCATTAATTATGTATTTTTTACTATATTTTTTTATTTCAAGAAAAGCAGATTTAGCTTTAATAAATAAAAAAAAACAAGGAAATATGCTTAAAACTTAAAGCTAGGAAGCAGGCTGGGATTATGTTCAAATAGTAGGTACATGAACCTATTGGCACCTAAGACAAAACAAAAATCCTTAAAATCAGCAAACAAAGCCTAGAAGAAAAGCAACAATGTTTTGATCAAAAGCCATAAAATTCTATTTCACCAGTTCAGTCTCATGTACTTTATCTTCTGTTGTGGTTCAATTTTCCCAATTAAATTCTGGTGTATAATATTCAACTCCAGACTTGTCCCCATGATTAAGCTGGCCATTTTCTGAGTTTCTGAACTGTTATTTCCATGTGACTGTATTTAATTTCCTGGTATAGCACTCCCTGAAGAACTTCTTGGAGATCTGGTCTGCTGTTGGTAAATTCTTTCAGGTTTTGTTTATCTGAGAATGTTCTTGTCTTTTCTTTCCATATGAAGGATAATCTTGCAAAGTATAGTATCCTTGGTTGCAATTACTTTTTCCTTAACATTTTGAATATATTTTCCCATTCTTTCCTCACTCGCATTGTTTCTGATGAGAGATCTGCTGTCTGCCTGATGGGCTATCCTTTGCAGGTAACTTGCCATTTCTCTTTTGCCAATCTTAGTATCTTGTCTTTGTCTGTGGTTTTGCTCAGTCTGGCTATAATGTGTCTTGGAGAAGATCTTCTTGGGTTTACTTTATTGGGGGGTCCTTTGTATTTCTTGGGACTGAATCTTTGAATGCCTCTCTAGGTTTGGAAAGCTTTCTTGTAGGATTTCATGGAATAGATTGTCAATGCCCTTACTGGTCTCTTCCCGTTTTGGGATACCAATTATCTGGATGTTTGGATGTTTGATGGTATCTAGTATTTCTTGTATAATATTCTCATTTTGGGGCATAATTTTCTCAGTCTTCATGGTGGATTGTTCTAGGCCAGCAATTCTACCTTCTACATCTGAGATTCAATTTTCAGTATAATCTAGTCTGCTTTTAATACTTTCAATGGAGTTTTGACTTCCTATATTATAGTCTTCATCTCTAACAGGTCCATTTGATTCTTTATTATAGTGTGAATTTCCTCTTTTAGATCTTGCAAGAATTTCCTCACCTCCTGAAGAGTGTCAGCTCCTTTACCCTGCCTCTTTGGCAGTTCATTGTTTCTCTTTTCTTTGATCTCTGAGATTTTTCACCATGAAAATTCTAAATTCTTTATCTGACATTTTCATGAATTTCATCATACTGTCTGAGGATGAAGAGGAGTTATTTTTCCTTGAAGGAGAGGTATTTTCTTGTTTTTCCATGTTTCTTGTGACTCTGCGGTGATTTCTAGTCATCTGATGGATGGTGTGTTTCTTCTAATTCTTGAAGTTCAATATGAGTGTTCAGAGGTGTGCAGGAGGAGGTGATCTGCAATCTCTCTTCTGTTCTGTTCTCACTCATTGTGCATCAGAATTAGTGGGAGTAGAGGAATATTCTGACCCTGATTTCATTCAAATATTTAGATCCTGTTCAGTTAGACCTGTCCAGACATTTACTGTGTAGCAGTAGAAATAAGTGAAGAAGTCCCAGCAGAAAAATCCTCATTTTGTCTCTGAAAGCAATATTTCACAGCTGAAGTTCATTTTAATTCAATTTTTCCACAAATTTTTTGAGGTGCTCTTATAGCTGTCATTAATTCCATTATTTTTGTGTCTTCTGGGTCTACTTATATTACTGATTTTTTTCCTCAGGGTCACAGGTTATACATTCTTGTTCTTCACATGGCTAGTAATTTATGATTAGATGGTAGACACTGGTGATACCATGGTGTTGATTGTTTATATTATGTTGTTCCATCAGGCAGTTAACTCATTATGAATCAGCAAGCTCCTTTCAAATATCTTCCTACATTTAGATTACTTTAATGCTTCTTCAAATTCAATATATCCAAACTCAACTTATTTCTCCCTATAAGCAAACATTCTCTCTGTTACTTGATTCTTCCCAGTGATACCATTTTCCACTTAGATTTATAATATTTATTTGTCCATTTATTCTCCTTTCTCCTTCACACTAAATCTTTCCTTGAATCCTCTGGATAACTCTTCTTACATACAATGATTATCTCTACTTCTGTGTATACTGAGAGTTCCAAATAAATGGCCTCTTGTATACATACTTGATGTTCTGTAACTCTGTATCCTCTTCTACCCTGACTCATTAGTAATTCTCTGAGCCTTTATCTAAATATACTCACAGTTTGTTTTTTGTTTGTTTGTTTGTTTTCACTGAAACTAAGTCACATAGTGAGACAGGTATGGAAAAAGGGTACACATTTGGTTGTTATGCAACATGACACAACTTTGTCTTAGTGAATCCTGAGATTGTAGCAACAGCATCTTGATTTAGCAAGGAGTTTTCTGGTCCTGATGGCAGAGGCAGCACTTCCTTTGGTAGCCTAATTTCACTGTGTGGCTGTGGAGTCATTTATAAAAGTACAGCTTGAAGTCTTCAGCCTCCCCATCAATTCTATAGCTATTCATCAACCTTTTTCTGACTATAGTGGATTCTGTTGTCTATTATTAAGAATGCTGAATAAAGTTGCTTTGTCTTTAAACAATATTAATGTATTGAAGGGTTGTTAAAAGAATTGGCTGGGACAATTTATGTAAAAAAAAAAGTTAACACATTTCACCTGCTAAAAACTAGTTGTCGTGTTACTGTTATTTTTAAATGTGTTATTATTACATTAAACTCTGATTTAGAATATTTGAGTTTGAATTATGGCTTTAGCATGTTTTTTCCTGACATTTTGGTCAAGCTGCTTAACCATTCTAAGGTTTGATTTCTTTACGAATTAGGTAAAAAGTATAACTACTTCATGGAACAGTTGTGAAAATTAAATGAGAATATGCACATAAATCTTTCTGTTCTGTTATTCTCCAAACAAATCATCTATTTCAATCAGACTCTTTTCCCACATTGTTTCCTGTTGCTGACTGCCAAGACCTCACCTTGTTTCCTTGGAATCCTTGGCACACCTCTTATTAAATAATATCCTGATGCCTCTGTATTCTCTTGTACTCTGCTTACACAATTCAAATCCATTTTTTCCTAGTTACTCCTTTTCTATGAAGTCTTTATAAGATACTGTGATCAGTTCCTTGACTTTGACACCCCAAAACAGCACCATGTATTATATAATTAACACTTTGCTCTTTTTCAATTAGTTAATGAGGATTACTTTTTCCTATGAAATGAGTGACAAGGATTTAAAAATATATATCTAATAGAGCTCTTAAAGGTAGTAGTCACTAAAAATAATAGTCACTTGAAAAAAAATGCTGACTACATTAAATTCAATTATATTATATAATACTTTTAGAATATATCATTAAATGTAGAAAACTTAGATGTACTTGGAAAGTACATTATATTAAACTGTTTCCTTCAAATTTTTTCTTTACCAAAGCATTTCTGATTTACTTTACCTTTTTATTCTTAAAAAATGGTAAGAATTGGGACCAGCAGTTAGTGTAATGGCTATGTCACTGGATTCCCATGTAGTCAACCGTGGTTTGAGTCCCAGACCTGCTGGCTTAAACTCACATCGGGCGTGCGTGTGTGCATGACCATGATTCCGAGAGGAGAATGAAGGAGAAGGGATTGCAGCGTGGCCATCCCCTCTGGAGGGGTGATTTCCTGCTTTCTGTCTCTCTGACTCTCTATATCTCTGGTGAGCGCACATGCCCTATAGCAAAAACCTCTCAAAAAAAAAAAAGGTAAGAATTTAAATGAGCTGAAAACGTGAACAGGTAATAAATCAGTGCCACAATTAAAATATGGGAATATCCTATGTTCCATCTACATATCTGTTAGCAGTGATATATATGACTTGTACAGATAATAGAACTTAGAGCAATGGTTTTTAGCCTTAGCTGAACAGTAGAATCACTTGAAAAGTTTTAACAATATCAGTGACTGCATTCCAACCTCTGAGACCATTTCATTGAATGGGCATGTGGCTAAGCAAGAGGATATTTAAATGTTAGCCAGATGATTTTCATGAGCGACTAGGGATGAGAAACCCCAGCTAGAAGATATTATGCATTTAGGATCCTTTCTAGTTTACTTTTATTTCATTCTTTTCTTTAGGAACATGCTGCCTGCCTAGGGATATTTATGGCCATTCATCTAAACACTTCCTTTGCTGTCACCAATGACACTTTTGACACACCTGTAAGGACCAAAGACGGTTTTATTTTGAAGACTATTTTCTAAAAGTAGCTTTCTGTAATTTCTATAGGCAGTAATCATATTCACTTGCATTAGATGTACGGTAATTATTAAAATGTCAGCCTGGGAAGAAGAAAGAAAAAGAGAAAAGCCTATAGCCACATTAACTCTAAATGAGATTTACGGTTTCAAGTTAGATGTACCTGACTGATGGCTCCCAGATCATCAGCAAAGCTGTTTACTTCTGATAAAAGCAGAGATATAATAGACTTTCTCAACAAGCTGCAACTTCCCAGGGTTACCAGACTCTGAGAGACATAATCCTGCACCTGAAACTAAAGATTAAAACAAGTAAGTTTCTACTTTCTATCAAGTCCAATCAAAATGTATCTAATGGACATTTTCTAAGACTTTACCATTAAAATAAATGTTGTTAGGAGTACCAAAAGGGTCTGGATCAGGATCTAGTAAATTATAATCATATAGGTGCTAAGATTTCCTATAGTTAATATTCTGAAATGGGTGACAGGATGTAAAAATGAAGTTTCAGCTAAAGTATTGAAAGATAATAGTTAAGATTATAGACTATACACAGAATGAATAAAATAGATGATAAGACACTTAAGCTCTTACCCACTAGATAGATAATAGATACCCACATACACACAAAAAAACAAGACGGTGAGAAGAGAAGAATGAGGATGTCTTTGGTAAGGGTTTTATATCCCAACTCCACACCAGAGAAGAGCACATGAGACTTCGCTATTGCCACAGGTCAAAAAGGGGCACTTTTAAGTGATAAGAAAAAATATGGAACACACTGAATTTTTATCTAGAGGCAACAAAAGTACTATCAAAAAATATAAAAGGCCAGTGGGAAACAGTAAACTATATCCCAGAGGTATTAGGACAAAGATCATTTGATTACTAATTGCATGAAAGTGTATACAACTCCTAGCTATAATTTCATTAGATGCATCATCTCACATAGCCAGGACAAAAAAAGAAAGGCTTCCAGGAGGATTTTAAAACACAAAAACAGCTGTATACTGTCTCATTTCAATATATGCACTTAGGCTCATACTGCAGAGATGTTGCTTTCAATGCTGATAATAATGCCATATGGAACTAGGTAATGTCATCTCTGAATCCTTAAAGATGAACACTTACACATAGATATTTTTAAATTAATATTTTAATAACACAAATTAATTTTAAATGTTAAGTAATGACAATAAGAAAGTGAACTGATTGTTAAGTTCAATAGAAATGTCTATTAAAAATCTAAACATATAAAACAAGCCCTTAAAAAAGTATTCTAAATTGACTTACCAACTTAAAGCTAAAATCATAGCACATTAATACAAAAGGAAATGAAAGACACTTATTATACTTATTTCTTAATAATGTAATTGGCTAAGATTTATATCCTTCATAATGTCCCAGTGCCACTTATTTTATTTCAGATAGTTACAACATTTGCATGTTTGTACCTAAAAGAAAGTATACTTTAAGATCTGAAAGGCTTCTCCTGAGCATTTTACTGATGCTTCAATTGTGTAAATCTTTAGGGGTTCACAGTAAAATAAAAGAGACTTTACAGAGTAGTAACAAAATGACAATGGTAATTAAGGGATTAAGTTTGCAGAACCTAACATTGCTTGAGTCAACTCCCAACTCTATTACTTGTCAGTCTGTACCAGCATCTTACTAGACTTCTGTCTCAGTTTTCATCTCTACACAATAGTGGCTGTGATAGTACCTGCTTCATCAAGTTTTACATATTAAGGAGTACACTAGAAAAGTTGAACATAATGCCTAGTTTCTCATAAATGCTCAGTAAATAAAATATTATAATTTTGGATGATAATATAAAAATATTGAAGGTTATAACATTAATTCACTGAAATTTGAAAACTTCAATACTATAAATAAAAATCTATTTTTTCTGGGTTTCATACAATTCTATCAGAGAACACTGCTGAGAAAAGAAAAAAAATTACCATAAAATCTTTTCCATAGTATAAATAAGAACGATTACTGCGTCCCCAAAATGATTGGTGTTCATACAGAGAAAAGTCTATATAATCATTAATGTGGTTTAAATTCTTTGGCATTATTATTAAAATGACCTCTATGCTTCCTTATATTTTAAATTATATTTTACCTTTTGTAAATACAGTAAACCTCTTTAGAGATGCTGTCATGAAGGCTAGGACTGACAACTGTGAGGCTGCTAGGGCAAAAAACATGGAAGGACTCGTTCAAAATTTATGCCAATTATTTTCAGGTTTACTTATTTAATTTTCTTTGCTTTTATTATTATTATTATTATTATTTTGATTGGAGAAAGAGAGAGAGGGAGAGAGAGAGAGAGAGAGAGAGAGA